CGCATATCCTTCATGACTATGGGAAATGTGCACAGACACAAAAATTTTCTGCTTTATATATAGAGACTAGTAAATGAATATGGTGGTAACCTGATACATAAATTTTGAGCTTGTTATCATGAACACAAAAATATAACGCAAATGTGCTTTTGCAAACTTCTTTTCTTCGCATGTTCGATATCGTATATCGGGTTCTAATGTATACTAGAATGAGTCAAAATCAATGAAAACCTTACATTTCTCCTTAAAACGGAGTTGCTCTGAACGGCAGCCAGTGCAGCTTATATTCTTCTAATATCAAAAATTTCCAACCAGTTTCCATGACTGCTGTAGTAATGGCCAAAGTTTCAAAAGCAAAGTGTTTGCAGTTCGTATTCTATAGTCATGCATAGATGTAAACAAAGATCCCCATGATTTATGGTATTTTTGAGCGATAAACAAGCGCTCATCGTTGAGGTGTTGTAGCAGCTAGAATTCGGTATGTGTATTTACAGTGCTGAAGCAACTAAGGGGCGTGGGCTAGCGTTTACCACGAAGTACCTAATGCCATGCACCCAATACTTTTGTTGCGAAAATCCATCGAGGCACAGATACTCGATTTGCAATAAAAGCAAGAATTTCCGCCTTTGTAAATGCTATTTTTGTAATTACTCTGTGTGACAAACTTAACTAACGCAACTATACTGTGTAAGTTACCAATTTACCACCTAACACCAAAGTGACTATCATTCAGGTATGGCTCGCAAGTGAGGATGCTTAGTTTTACGGCCTTCATCACAAAATGCATTCATTTTACACATCTGTATGATGCTTTTCAGATTCCTTTCCTTCTGCAACACTTTTAGGAAAATGTTTATAATTATAATCAAAAATTTTCAAGAAAATGCTTCAGAAAGAAATCATCAGTAACCGTAACAACATGCGAATCACAGACAAAACCCGTTTGAACTTTACGATTGTATATACATGCATACTAATTTGTGAATGTGGAATTGGATTCGGAAATAGTATCTATTATGATATGATCTATGACAACCCAATGCCTGATATTGCTAGTTATACTTATCAGCAACTCGCTGATGTTTGTCCCCCTGGAGCGGAACAGGAAATCGCCATCGGGAGAGAAGTGTCCCAAACTTATTTTCCGCTCTCCTACAGTAGCAATGACGATGGTTTCTGGTCCAAGCTTATCTTCAGGAGCTGGAGGAACGCCAGTGAGAAACATAATCCCTGGAAGGATGTGTTCGTCACTTTTCTGACAAAGGAGTTGCATTTACCTGTAACGTTGATCGGTTTTCCGAAAGCTATAGAGATATAGGATCCTTTGTCTGGATCAGTAAACCACATTGCAAAATTGAGATTATAGCCACGCTGGGCGTCGTGACGTCCCGTTGCTTTCATAGACGTCTTCACAACGGCAGGAGGATTTGAGCGCTTACCCTGAACAACCTGCTTATAGGTTGGCACAAAAACTTGTAAGGAAGCATCTTACTTGAGACAAACCCTTATTGAAGTTTGAATCGTGGATTTTCTGAACTTTTCCATTTAGAGAAGACACCTTGCCAACATGTTGAAACTGCGAGGATCCAGAGTTGATCTTATATGGGTTAATCATCTAAAGTTGAATTGGAAAGTGTGCACTATGATAATTAATCTGAGCAAACCTGAATGCAATCCCTGAAGCTTTTGTCTAAACTACAATAGCGACTGCGTAGGACATCTTCGAGAATCCAGTCTACTGGTTTGAA